GGGGGTAGCATTGCCGACCTGAATTTGTCTCTCCGCACAAGTAAGGCGGCAGTAGCGAAAGAGAGGTAACTTTTTTCTCGCTACAATTCCTCAGTTCCGTTCCCTTTTTTTTTCCAGCCTTCTCCTTCCGTCTCTTTCTCTCCCCCTCCCCACTCCCCTCTTCTCTCTCCCTCTCTCTCGGAAGCGGTCCAGGCGTTGCGCGTGCTGCCCCAGTCGCCTGTCTATGTATACTTCTCGGTAGCGACGACGGTCTCGTCGTAACAAATTCTCCGGCTATCACAACAAAATTAGGGTTCGGCGCAGCGTGCAGCGTTTCGCTTCATAACGCGTAGCTGTACTGTGAGCGAGCGAGAGAGAGAGAGAGAGCGAGAGAGCGTTTATTTTCTCAAGACGTGACGTCACCGCCCTCTCGCGTACTCACTACTGTTATCATTTCGCGTGGACTTTGATTAAGTTGTTAAGGTACAGCGTTGCGTTCTGCCCCTACACCCCTTCCCACAATCCTCTCTCCCTTTCGCTCCCTTCGTCTCTCCTCTCTCCACCTCTCTCAGGCCGCCCGTAAAGCGGCAGTAGTATTGCAGACGGCCGGCCCATTACGCAACAATCGAGTGTCGATCAATGGGTTTACAGCTTCACTTTCACCGCAAGCGGCGGGGGTTGGCGTGGCGGGGCGCGGCGGCCGACCTGCGATAGACCCTCTACTCGAACGACGTCACGGCATGGACACTCATAAACCTTGCTAGCCCGCCTCGGCCCGCCCGCTACCACCCCCTGGGTAGACAGCTGATTGCAATACAACCCCCCACCTTTTTTTTTGCCCCCTCTTGGCCTCGTAGTAAGAAGCGGTAGTAGTAGCCCTTCTTGACCTTCTTCAGGACCTATTCAATCGGGGGCATTCGTTATATGGAAATTTTATTATGACTCTCCGTTAGAAACTTTTTTTTTCTGCCTCGACGTCGTGTCGGAAAGGCAATTCCTTTTGGGGGCGGCGGCCGCCGTGTGCAGCTGCAGCGTTACTGCCGCCTTGTTCATATTGACATTGCTTTTACTTTTGTTTTGGTCACAATGCGCCCCATTGTGCGGGCGGGCCGCGTGTCGCGAGGGGTTAGGGCCCACGGCCGGGGCCGCCAGGGGCACAGCGCTCGGGCCGCCGCGCCCGCCGCACCGCGCACCGCGCCCGCCGTCGTCCCTGCCGCGCTGCGCCGCGCCCCGCGCCGCTGCGGCTGCGGCGGTGGCTGCCGCGACAGGGACCGCCGCAGCCGCGCCCTGACGCCGGGGGGCCGCCGCCGCCGCGGCCGCCGCAGCCGCAGTCGCGCCGGCGCGCGCAGTTCGGTATTTGGCCGCCAGGGGCCGCCACCGGCGCGCGCGCTGCCACCGCCGCCGCAGCCTGGGTCGGGTCGGCGGGGCGGTGGTCGGGCTCGCTCCGTGGTGGAGGCAGTCGCCACTCGGCCCCAGTCTCACTCGCACGCACGCGTGCCATCCGCGAAATCCTTTCCGATTTTCCTCTCGCCGTTCGTCGTGGTTCTCGTCCCGCGAGCGAGCGCGCGTGTGTGTGTGTGTGCGTGTGTGTGTCCGCCGGCGCCCTCGGCCTTGTGGATTACCCCAGCTGCATCCTCCGCGCCGGACCTTCCCCCAACAACGACCAAGGGGAACAAAAACTACATTTTTTCTGTGGTGGCGTCCTTCGCCTTGGCGGTGAATGTGGTGTTTATGGTGCGTGGGTGAATGACACACGAGGATGCACGGTGCTGCGCCTTCACAGTGCGATAATTATTCGAAGGCAGCGCGGAGGACAATGGAGGCTTCGGTGCACCGTTTGGTCAGTTAGAGTGAGAAGGACAGAGAGAGGTGGCCAGCCCGGCACCCCCTGGCGGCACAAACAAAGGCGCTCTGAAACTCGGCCAAAGGGGTGCATTGCGTGTCAGGGTCCACTACTGCACCCCCGCCTACCTGCCGCGCTACCTGGCCACGGCCGCGCGTACCCGACTGAACTGTACAGTGCGACACAACATCATCATCATCAAGCTCGCCAGTGACTGTGTGTGTGTGTGACTGTGACTCTAATCTCGTTGTGCTCTCTTTTTCTCTCCCTCCCCTCCTCCTCCCCTCTCCCGTCCACGACGTCCACGGCCTGCATCGCCATGGCCGCGCACTGAACGCCCCGTCCGGTGCTCTCCCGCGGCATCATCATCGGCGACCTGGTTGTCACGGACGTGGCTGACGTGGCCGGCGCCACGCTGTTCGACGTTCCCAATGGGGGCGGCCCGATGGGCGCCACAGCCGGGCCTGCCTCCGGGGTAACGTGGTGGGCCATGATGTCGGGGGCGCCCTACGAGGACTCGCCGCCGCCGCACTCGCTCCCGGTCACCTCCCCGGGGCCGGTGGCGACCGCGGCCGTAGTGGCGCCCCCGCACACGCCCTCGCTCAACGCCTCCTCGTCGGCGGCCTCGTCGGCGTCGCCGCCCACCTCGGCGGTGCCGTCGTCCGTGCCGCCGGCGCCGTCGTCCGCACCCTCGGCGCCCATCCACATCCCGGCCAAGCGGCCGTCGACGGGCGGCGGCTACTCCGACTGCGGCGGGGGCGGCGGCGGCGTCGGGGGCGGCGACTCATCGGGGAGCGTCATCCGGCACGGGCACGCCCAGCCCTGGAGCTACCCGGGCGCCGACATGGAGCAGCCCCACTACGGCACGCCCACCTACTACAACCTGCCGGAGCAGGGCCGGGACTCACGCAAGCCGGTGCCCTTCTGGTCGCCGGCGGCGGCCTCGGCCGCGCCCACGCCCACCCCCGAGTACAAGTACTCGGTGACGGCCGGGGGCGGCGCGGAGCAGCCCGGCTTCCCCCAGCCCTGGTGCAACTACCCGACGTACGCGGCGCCCCGCCACCACTCGGAGGCCGCGCACTACCTCGGCGACGAGAGGCGGGGCATGGAGGCGACCGCCTTCAGCAGCCACGACTCGTACGCGCTGAGGAACTACCAGGACCCCGTGCCCGCCACCACCTACCCGCCGCCAGGTCAGTCCACAGGTGTGTGTCTTCGCCTTGCATGCCTCTATGTAGCCGTTGGTTTCTTTTTGGGTTACTTTACTTACCTTAGCACTATCATCAAGGTGTTTTCATGCTGCCAAAAATTATGACCAAACATCAGTCGTTGTGATGAAACTGTCACATCAATGTGACATCAATAAGTTGTAATATGTGGTCATTGTAATGTCATTGACAATCAGCTGACTTCACCATGATATTATTTTCACCTTCCTTGCACGTAATATCTGCATGTACTGATCCACCTCTATAGCAGGTCTATCTGCCAATATCACCTCCCCAATTAATTAGTAGGATCTGATGCAGCAGCAGCAGCAGCGGCGGCGGCATCAGCATGATGCAGAGCCAGTCATCCGGTCGTCCAGCCTCCCCCTCCCCCCTCCCCCCGTGATTTAGGGACAGCCTTTCGTCTTGACAGCGGCCCGGCAGCGCCGGCTTTATTGTGGTCCGAGGGTGAGGGGGGTGGGGGAGGTGTGGGGGGAGGGATGGGTGGCGGGGCGTGGACGTCCTGAACAAGCCGAGAGTTTGACCTTTTTTCGTAGTCCCTCTGCTGCTGCTGCTGCTGCTGCTGCTGCTGCTGCTGCTGCCGCTGCGGCTGCTATTGCTGCTGCTATTGTGCGCTATCTGTGATCGCCAGCCAGGCCGGCTGGGATTGATACTGACGGACTGAGGCCTGCAGACGGACGCGTTGAGCCTATGGGGGGAGTTTTGTGCTAAATTCTGGCCCCACCAAACTTTGACTTTAAATATTTCAGGACCAGAACAAACGTTTCTGATTTTAGCAAAATTTGAACCGTCATATAGATGAAGATGTGACGTCACTGCATGACGTC